ATATATAAATACAGTGATTTGAAAGAAAGTTTAGTCCAAATGTTTCGTCCGTTACTGTGGTATAGCCCACTGGCAAATTTTAATGATCTCACTAGCCTTGTGACCTCATCGTACTCCCCAGATCCCCAACAATCAGGCTAATGGTTACCCCAGTACCAAGATCCGACCACCTTTTGTGCCTGATGGAAACCGCTACACCCTCACGGTTTACTTTGTGGATCCCAGTAAGTAGTTCCTTTTCTTTGACATAAGTGCATTATACAATTTTTGTACAAATAATACGCTCAAGTTTGGTCAGAACGTGAGTCTATTGTTGCCATAGTACTCGAAGGACGCTCCGCAAATGTTGTTTTTGGTTTTTTGTCTTTTCTTTAAAAAATCAAAGCAGAATTTGTCCAGACAACTTTTCAGACGATTATTTAGTTAAAGATGACATAGAGTTTGAGTAAATAAATTGACCTCATTCTAGGATTCCAGCCGTTCTTTTACAACTGGCAATTATGAACGAAGGTCTCTACATTAGACAGTACATTCACACATGAGCTTCCTATACGTTTCACGAAAAAGACGTATGCATAAACTTAAAGCCTTAGACGTGTTTTTGCATCTTAATCTTACCACGTCATGTCCATTCTTCCCCGAAGGCATTATCTGTACCAGAGGTAGAACGGCGGCGCAGTACGCTGCCCAGGGCACGGGCACAGACCTGTACATCCAAGAGACAGCCAATCCCGAGGCAAGCACGCTGGTCCCCCGATACGAGGCAGACCTTGCAAAGACCAAGTGGACGAAGGGAAAGTGCTTCTTCTCCATGGGTAAGTGCGATACTTATTTTACAATATGGGAAATATGAACATCTAGGAAGATAATACAGGGCGATTAAAAAAGAATACGCCAAATCAAACGATATTTAAAAAACGAAAGCCAATAGAAACTTCCAGCTTGGACACATGTGTTGTACATACCTTTAAGTTTTTATCTCATGTTCTATAAGTGCTCAAAGTGGCCACCACCGGCAGTACGTACAAAATTCAAAATTATTTCCTACCAAACTGAATATGTCCAATGTGTCCCACTCATATGATATTATTCAGTTTCAAGCGTCTTTAAACACTATCCCCCCCCCCCTAAAAAAAAGCTCAGTTTAATT